GAGAAATGCCCTGATGATATTAGATACAAACGTAAAACAAAATTTCTAACAGGGGTGTATCTCAACCTTTTGTTAGAAGAGTGAGGGGTGAAGCTTTGAATAGGCAGAGCTATACTGACAACTGCCTTTCCAAATTGCTTCAGTTTGTCCACGAAGATCATGCTAATTACCGTACTACCCAAGAAATACACAAAAATGGCTTCGGCAACACAACATATCTTTTGTTCCCAAGAACGACAGTCCTCCAAACTTTGGGCTTCACTGTCTAGGGAGGTTAATCATAGAGGCTCGGAAGCCCAAGATGAAAAAAAATTAAGACGGCAACTTCACGAAAGACTGAGAGAAATTTATCTGTCCAGGACCTTATGAGAGACATTCGAAAAAATACGTCTGGCAGAGCAGAATGGACTACATAATTCAATAGCATAGTTTATTTAAGTATTGCTTTGTAATTTATGATAACTAGTTAAATAAAATAAATAAATTTCTTCATTAAGAAAAAAAATCCGATATATATTTTGTGCCAAAACTTTTAGGACATACGTTAGGTGCAAATAATTACCGGGAGCGTATAAATATACTAACATCAGTAAATTGTGATATAGCTACCCTACAACACCCCATCCTCCATCTTTTACTCCTTTAGTTCTGTCAACCATTTCTCTATTTAGACCGCGCGACAAAATGTCTGACTTTCACAATTTCGTTTTTCGACCAACACTGCTCGATAAAATGTTTGAATTTAACAATTTCAAATAATTGGTGAATTTCAATCGCAACACCATATGGGAACCCCCTAGAATATTTTTTATTATGATCTTCACTTATGTTTGTTCCATATGCAGCCAAGGAAACCAATATGGAAACTTCTAAATTAGCATATGAGTGCGTGGATAGTAGTCAAAGAAGAGTCAGTCTACTAGGCCACCATGTAACTAAACATGCTCAGATTCTTTGTATAGCAAGTAAATACAATATTGCGGGGTTATTTATCTCGATTTTGTTCGTAATGTACTTGGGCAAAAAATTGTAATATCCACGTCTTGTACGGGCAGCTGGGACAGATTTATCCGCAGCTGGAAAGGCGGACAGGAAGAGAGAGTCAGATAACGCGTTTTACGCTCTTTCATTTTCCATTCGTTCGTAATATGTCTGTTGCTAAAGGGCTTCAAGATATGAAGACAGTTCTGCTATAAAAAAATCGATTTCCGCGGCTGTACTTCGTAAAGAAGGTGGAATGGCATTTCCAATATAGTTTCCGCAACATGACGGGGAGTATGTGGAAACATGAATGCGTGAAATTGCTCAGAGCGAAGTAGTTTTATGGAGACAACAAGAGATTTGGTATGCACCACATATTACGTATAGAAAAGCATTGCCAATTGTGCAACAATATGAATTAGGTGATTTGAAAAGATTCTGGACTCGCATATACAATGTGTTTGGTCACGACATGTCCAAACTCTCTATAAGAAACATTGTTTTGCCATTTTTATGTATAAAAAGTTTGAAAACAATATGCATTTTATTACAACATTACAACATTTTGATCCATGTTAGATAGCATTCAGTGCTTAACGTAGAATACCTAGGATAACCAAAAGCTGTAGAATTAGCACAAAAAAAGTACAACTTCACAGTCTAGTTTTGAATGGCGTGCGGAAATGCACAAAATAATCTATTTTCTTCCATATTTTTTCTGTTTTTGTCTGTTTTTAAGTATGTTTGACGGTTAGTATAAAAACAAGTTTTTCAATAATCGCTAGGACAACATGTCGTCGTTCAAATGACACCAATTTTATTATTCTGTGACAATTACGTACTCAGTGATTACAATTTTTATACATGCACTACCGTAATCCTAACGGAAAAATAAAAATGCCATTTCAAGGAGGATGAGGTAGAACATTGTAGGCGGATGGATTTGTCGATAAAAATATCTGAAAAATACCCCTCTTAAATATCGGTATGTTACTGATGCTATTCGTATCTCAAATGAACATGTCTTTTATTCTGAACAATGAACTAGAGTCTAGAAAGTGCCCCATTCGTTAACAAAAACGATTAGGGTTGAGACTTTCCCAACACAAAGAATTAAACTGATTTTATGCGTCGATTTATAATAATGGATGAGACGGTTTCTTAACTGCGACATCAAACTGCAGAGTGGATTGAACCAGGTTGTTCTGCTCTGAAGCAAGCAAAGTTGGCGAAATCATTTGAAAAGTTTCATTTGTTTCTGATGCAAAAGGTTTATTGGTTAACTGCAGACAATCAAATCTATAACAGCACAATATTACAATCTTCTCAATGAGCTGGCTGTAGAAATTCGGGAGAACAAATTAGGTTTACAGAAGACAAAAATTATATTCCACTGGGACAATATATGTGTATATGCTTAGAGAAGCGCTCTAACAATGGCTAAAATCACTAAATTGCACTCTATTTATCAGATTTCGCACCTTTTACCTTTCATTTATTTTTCTTCTCTAAAGAGTCTCAAGTTAATCTCAGCGGTTGACTGGTAGTTTGAGGGTCTTCGAGGCTCACGCCAGGAAAGGTCTAAATCAAATAGAAATTCACTGGACAAAATGTATCGAGTTTAAGGGAGCGACTATATGAGTGGTCGCCAACCTTTTCAGTGTGTTGATCTACTTTGATAATTTGGAATAAACAGTGAGCTACCTAGTCGCAAGCAATGTAAGTCAACTTAAATGAAATTATACACAGTTGTATGCGACATACATGCGTTTATTTTTACTGAAACTAATACATACTAATACACTTAAATGAACTAATAGCTAACACATACTACATAACTACATCCATTCCTATCAATCGCAGGTGTGAAATGCTCTTCATGAATTCCGTAATGAGCAATGGAGCGACTTTCTGTCGGGGATGCTTGACTCAAGTATTCCTCTCTGGAAAGTTGCAAAGTCACTCAGAAACGGAAAGCGAGAACAACTCCCGCACATTCACGGTCCTAGGGGCATAGTCTGTAGGACAGAGGAAAGGGTCGAGGTTTTTGCTGATGCAATGGAAAGTCAATTCTCTCCCAACTATGACCTTGACGAGGAGCAACATATTGTAAAATCCGTTAGGAGATATTTTAGGGCCAACGGCGTCAGTGGCAGTAGTGCCTCCCTTAGTGATTTTTCCTCATAGAAATCTTCAGAAGATTCCTCAACTGAAGAGCTGCATGGCACATCAGCGGAGTCTCCTGAGATTCCGCATTGCACACCAGCAGAGCTCCAAGGTCATATTAAAGACCTGAAGGTGCGTAAGGTACCTGGAGAGCATCGAATCACTAATAAGGCGCTGAAGCTACTTTCGCGGAAATCCTTAAATAATCTCGTGGCATTAATCAATGCCATGCTAAGGACCCAGCACTTCCCAACGGCGTGGAATACCGCTGATGTCATAATGATTCCAAAGAAGGTGGGTTCGATATTCCCACAGGATTACCGCCCCATTAGTCTACTGTCAGCTCCTTCTAAGCTCACTGAAAAGGTGATTTGACGTCACCTTGAAAATTTCTCGGCAGACCACAATGTGATTCCTGATGTGCAATTTGGATTTCGGTCTGAGCATAGTACGGAGCTACAGGCCATAAGGCTTGTTGAACGAGTAACCAGTTCTGGATGTCTCAAAGGCATTTGACAAGGAGTGGCACAAGGGCCTTCTCTACAAATTGATCCATAAGTGCTTCTCCTGCTGGCTCCTAAAACTTTTGAAATTTCGGATAGAAATTAATAACGTTCTGTCGACAACACGGCCCATCAAAGCCGGTGTCTCTCAGGGTTCGGTTCTTGGACCAGTCCTTTATTCACTTTTTATTCATGACGTCCCTTGCCCCAGCAGCTGTGAAACCTATGTCTATGCTGGTGGACCAGTCGTGCTCTGGGGATCTAGTTCACGACAGGCTGCAAAGTGCAGTGGACGAGGTATTGGAATGGGCGAATCGGTGACTGATCAAAATTAATCATTCAAAAACGCAGGCAATCTATTGTACTAAAAAACGTAGCGGCGCCCCGTCTGAGGTTTCAGTGAATGGAGCTCGGGTACCATGGGAAAGCTCTGCTAAGTATCACTTACGCAAGCGCGGCTTGGTATTTTCTCGCCAAAACGCATTTGCGTAGCCTGCAGGTTTTGCAGAACAATACCTTGCGAACAATCACTAACACCCCATGGTATGTTTCCAACGAGGCCCTTCACAGAGACCTTGACATCCCTTACCTAAGGGACTACATCAAACAACAAGCGCAGCTACGTTATAGTCAAGCGGAATCGCATGACAACCCTTTGTTGCGCGAGTCTGTAGACTACACAGTCAAGCAAGTTCGCAAGCACACAAGGTCGCGACTCGCACTGTGAACAAAATTAAGACGTGCGACTTTAGGACAAATCAAAATTATAATTTTTCTTCAACAACCAATCCCAAAATTAATTTTAGAATCAATTTAAAATTGCCGAATACTAATTAGCAATGACAAGGCAGCCCTCAAATTGACGCACTTCTTTTTTCTTTGCTCTCCCTTCTTTCCTCCTTCCTTCCTTCCTTCCTTTCCTCTTCCCTTCTTTCTCCCTGACTTTGTTTGGTATCTGGGAAACCAGACCTGACAGATCTACTGACTTACAAGACTTCAACCAATAGCAAAGGACCTACGGACCACTCTGACAGACATTGACGAATAGACAAATAGGTTGATCTAAATAAAGCTTTCACTTTCAAGGCGACACGACATTAAACTGAATATTTATCTTTACTTACTGTAGGCCAGATACATTTTGTATTTGAGACTAATGATTTTAAAGCTAAATCATTCTGAAGCGCAATAACTTCCATTTCTGTCGCAGCGACGTCTTCGCTAAAATTCTGTGTAACAGAAGTTGCAAGCTGCTGGATATAAATTTCCCTGAAGGGTGAAACAACAAATCCTTGAAACGATTTTTGAAGTTATCGTTCAAGCTAGAGACTATTTCTACATAATATTTACTGTCGTATGGTTCTAATGGACATTGATATATCTTTTCTGCAAGAACAGAAAAATGCCTGGTATCGCCATCGATTGAGTTTTGTTCCCAAAACTGAAGCTTTTTGATAAACGCTTTTATATCAGAAATTATTTCTGCTAGTTCTTTGTCTCTCCCCTGAAGCTGCAAATTAAATTCATTCAACTTTTCTGTAATATCCACAAGAAAACCAAAATCTCTAAGCCAGATTGAATTTTCCAGTTCTGGAATCGGTTCATCAGGTTGTTTGAAAAATCGAACTATGGCAGATATGATATCATTCAAACGTTTCAGCACTCGTCCCCTACTTGACTATCGGACTTCAAAGTGAAGAAGTAGTTCTCCGTATTGACAGTCAATTTCATCGGACAAGGGATTGAATAATCTTGTTTACAATTTTTACTACCAATTTCATAACACTGTTTAGTTTTAGAAAATGTCCACATAATGCTTGCTCATGGATAATGCAGTGGTAACAGAGAAATTGCGGAAAACTTTCATCTTTACGACATAACCCTACGAGCCCCGTATCACGACACACCATAGCTGGAGCGCCATCGGTGGTCAAGCCTAACATTTTCGATATTGGAATTTTCTCATAAGAAATAATATTTTAAACAAAAGAAAACAAGTCCTGCCCAGTAGTCTAACCTTTTAAAATCACTAAAAACCATCCTGACGAACACGGCTATCTGAGAGGTGTCAACGACATCTGTGGATTCATCCAGCTGCAGTGAAGAATAAGCACAGTTATTGTAATCATTTCTTAACTGTAAAACTATATTAATGCTCATTACTTCTACTCCTCTCATCACTGTATTAGCAGAAAGTTGCATAGATTTTATAGCAGACACTATCTCGTCTTTATTTCTAAAGTTGGCAAATAATTAATCTGCAGCTTCTAAAAACTCCTATTTTATAATTTCCCCGTCTTCATAAGGTTTCTTCTTTTGTATAACTCTCTGGGACATCCGGTATGATGCTTCAGTTGCAGCTTTACTTTTGTCGATTGTTTTTAAAAACATTGGCTGTTATCCAATTAACTGACTTTTTAATTGTTTCAGTTTTTCCGTTCTGGTTGCAGAACTTAAGTATTTGGAATGATTTTTTAAAATTCGAATGTACAGTCTTATAGTGCATCTCGCTATTCCCTTTCTTAGCAACGGAAACAAATGTATTACATTAACTTTAATTTCTATAAAGAAATATTTTCATTCATCTTCTTAGTACTGCTCATAACGTTTTTAATTGCAGGTCAACTCTAATCCAACCGCTGGACTTTGTGCCGTTCAGTTTTAAGCCGCGCACTGTCGCCGCGCCTTGCGTATTTCTTCCGTTCAAAGTGATAGAGATCGTTCTCGAACAGATCCCTCACCGCAGTGTTGCTGCTGCTTGTGTTTATTATAAGAATTAACAAAATTTACGGAAGCTTCTATGATTTTTACACCTTTTTACAATATGTTGTGAGCCACCAGAATTGCCTTTGCGAGTTACCGGCAGCTCGCGATCGACGGGTTGGCGACCACTGAACTATATTATATACTTAAGGATGAGGGATGTGGCAGCGGGAATACAAATCTTTTGTTCCTTTACATGCGGTCATGATATTGCCCAGAGAAGTTATGTTGTACTTGAGTGAAACTCTTCATATGTCGTAGCAGTTTCACCAAGGTTTCAAGATTCACCAGCGGCTAAATGAGAGTTTCACGGATATCACTTGATCAAAGCTTCATCATCATTGTCATATGATACTGATTGGATGTTCCCAACATTTCTTCAGTGAGTGTTGGTGCAGGCAGCGAGATAGGGAGAGAGAAATATAGACAAAGGGAGGAATACTCGTATAATGAATAGTTATATATGTAAATCCAACCCACCGCTGCGCCAATTTAGACTGTGAATTTCATATGAAATAAAAACATTCCTGGAATTTATATAACGTTTTTATATCCTACATTAATCCTACTGGAAAATTTAAAACAATATGCATGACTACAGAGGTACGTGTGTTTTTATGCCTTTTAGACCTGTTCAAAATAAATGATGGGGTTAGTTATTTTTATTTAAAACAAAACGCGTGTTAAAAGTACTGTGCAAGCAGGAGTGTTGCACTATATTGAACTTGAAGCAATCTCCTTACTGAGATCATTATCAGGCAATAGAAATCAGATTGTTGAAGTACATCAAGTTTGGGTCGTATCCTTAGAGGAGTCCTCAAGGCTCCATACTCTGTTCACTTTTGTTCTCTATTTAAACCTGTCAAATTGCTAAATTTATCGACAATTCCAAAATATGTCAGCACGCAGTCGATACACAATTATAATCATTTACACAACACAAAATTACTAAAATCTTATTAATTGTTCAGACAAACATCAACTGGTAGTTAATTCATCTAAGTATATAGCTTTACCGTTTGGTAAGGACAACCCACAAACTGAAAGGAAATTACCAATAATCAGCTGGAATGCAGGACAGTGATAAACAAGTTTAGGAGTTCAGATAGATACAAAACTAAAGTTCAAAAATCATCTAACTAGTTGTATGTTATAACGATGTTTTGCAATACTAAAACTTCTTCTTCCACATCGTCATATCTCAAGTCAAAAGTTGAAAACAAAGCTTTGAGATAGTCTCGTACTAGGCCATTTGAACACTGTGTCGCTTTGTGTACGCCTTGCTTGGAGAAAATCAATATTGCTCGTATGAAACGTGTTGAAAAATCTTCCCTAAAATCCATCTTCGGTATTATTAAAAAGTTTTGTTGAATATCGTCTAAGCTTAATTACTTCGAATGGTTACCAATGACAGATAATCGCAAACTCATTATTCACACTTCATCAAATTAAAAGAAACAAAACCCCACCATACCTATACCACAAAGTTTCTGCCAGGAGCAGTAAACATAACCGCAATTTGCAGCATAGTTACCCAATATTCTTACCCAAACATAGAAATGCACTTTTTCGTAGACTATTTATCTTACTGCATAATACAGCCTATGTAACGAACTGCTCGGATCAATAAGAATTCTTGATATTCCCGCTCTCAGACATGCGGTAAAAAAACAACATACTGGATAAATCAGAAGAAAATTGCACCAGAAATTTACATTGACACATTACATTTTTTCACGCTCGTTTGTATTATACATTGTACAATAGTTTTATAGATTGAACTTGCAAGGGTCTGTTACTTGATCAGCTGGATCCTTTGGGTACAAGCCTCTTTTTAAAGCAATAAGCTAAAAAATATATCTAATCTTTTATCAGAAAATGTAGCATTTTCTCTTGAAAATGAAAATGCGAATATTCATTTTGATGTATTGTTACGTGGATTCTTGCTAGAGATATCCGCTTCCCAAATACACTCACCATGCGATCTACCTATATAATAGCTTATCCACTGAAATTAAATCTTTGACATTTCACAACTTTAAAAAAGACATTAAGGATCTGCTTTTATAGTGCCAAAATTAAAAATACTTATTTTTCACTTTTGCTAATAAACATAGTATTTATTTATTTATCAGAGTAATCACATTAAATATGTATAGTCATTTTGTTATATTATCAGTGTTATTGTCATTTATCTATTTTATTCATGTGTGTATTTATTTTTGTATGGGTTAAATGGAGAAAAAGACAATGTAAATCAGAAGGCAACGATGTATTTGCGAACAAATTATTATACAAATGATCATAATCTATCTTCGATTTGATGTTTTGAAGACCATGAAAGAAAAACATTAAAATTACCTAGCAAAGTATTCTCTATAGGCCATTGGTGTATATTGACACGCTTGGTCAGTAGTTTAGACTTTTCAGTACCAGGGTGGAAACCATTGATTCGTCGACAGGCAGCACCTTAGGATGCTAGTTCCATCAAAAAAATATGCCAAGATATGTTTTTTATAAGGCTGATTGCGGATTTCGTTAATGTAACTTGAACCAAAAAATATTTCAATTCAAACGATTCACTTTTATTTTGAACATTTATATCCTCCATTTTCTTAGTCCAATACCCTACCTGCATTTACCGCAAAATTGACTATCACCACTAACTAGTATATGTAAGATAGTTAACTTCGGACTATTTTCAAAGCATTTGTTTATTGAAATATATTTCCTCATGCGTTCCTTATACTACCTGCCTCTTTTTATCTGTTGATTAGCAAGCGAAAAATAAAAGCTACTACCCGTTGTATGTCAACAAACAATACTCCAGAGAATTTAATATCTGGCGATCAACAGCGCTGCTGTAAAACCTCAAAGTTACTATTTTTCATCGTAGACTGACTGCACCGCTACGTGTCGAAATTCTTGTGAAAAAGGAATTCAACAAATGCTGCAGCTATTTTGGTGGCGACCATATTAGCTCAGTCAACTTAGATGCAAGAATTTATAGCTAACTCAAGTTAACCCCAAAATGCGCTATGAGCAAAGAAATGTGAGATATCAAATGTAGCTCCAAGCAGTAGAGCAACTGATTGGTCTAGATCAGAGGTTTCCAAGCTTTATGTCATCTACTGATGACTTTATGAGAGCTTCTTCTTGTAACAAATGTCTGGTTTAGGCCGTAGGTGGTAGACGGAGGTATGTACCACCCGGCAGACCTCGTAGGCCGGGCCAGAATATGTGCATATTGCATGCACACATGTGCCCTCGCCAAAGTCCGTGTGGCGTCCCCTCCTTTCCCCTCTCTCTCAAGCCTTACGGTACCCATGGGTGTTTAGTCCTTAGGCCTTCGTGGTACCTAGAGTATAAAAAAACGTTGACCAACACTGGACCTACAACATGTATCTGGCAGAACTACATTTAGAAACACATATGTCCCTGTTTAAAGTGGTAATGTTCAAAGTTGACCTAATCCTAACAATTTATAACTTGAATATAGGTAAATCAAATAAAAATAGATAACTTTGTCTTTTATCTGCAGATCCTAATCTCCTTGTTCCATAGTACCTCCGGAGGGCTTAACTCTTCAACTTGAGACAAAACCTCGTTTAAACTGGCTACCTGGTGCCTGTAGCAAGGAAAACTTAATAAAACTTTTAAACTTATTTCGATTCGAAGCTCTTCGACGCCGCGTAGAGCCTCAGCACTCGTTTCGTTCGGAACAAATGGAATAAGAAAGATGGCTTTTGTTATGAAAATGCTCCATTTCTGAAATTGGTATGTAAATACGAAACAACTGCAGGCGAATAGAATTATAATTAAAATTCCGGATCGGAGCGAAGTTCGCAAATCACATATTTGTCAAATATTCGTGAAGTTTTCAAGTTTCAGTCTATGAGT